TAACTCACTTTCGCAGGAATCGCGGTTGTATTTAGCGCATACAACAAGCCTTTAAACCCCTAGGTTACCCTAGTGGACGAGTTGTAGTCTCGTGAGGGTTTGCAGTGAATATACCCACAAAATTCGGTCAACTTGCCAAATTAAAGAAGTCAGTAAATAACTAAATTCACTTGATAACTTTTAGATAATCTAATTGGAGCCAGTTATCACTCAAGAAAACATTTTTATATATAACTCTAAGGTATATTTTTAAGAAAATCTTCTCATTGTAGCAATACAAAACCAAGCCAAACTTAGAAATTTAATTTAAAAGTTTTGAAAAGAACATGCTAACTCTTTGTTTTAAATAATTTTCAAGTTGCTTGATTTAAAATATTTTCCAAGACCATATATACAACTATAAAACATTTATTAGTTTTTTTAACTCTTTCTTCCTTGGTGATTTTTTCTACTTTAACGGGCTTTCTAAGTGACCATTTAACGAGTTTTGGGCCAATGGATCCCAACCCAAATGGGCTTAGGTCATTAAGTATGGAAATACTCCTTGGGCTTAATTACTCGGTCAGCTTAGGCTTTATAAGATAGAATCACCTTGAATTAAAGAGTTTTTTTTTCTTTTTGGTGCCCATTTTTCACACTCTTCTTTTGCAATTTTTTTCTATCTGGAAAGGGAGCAACCGGTCTAAATCTATCAAAAGCAGGCTCAGGTTCGGGTTCAGGTTCTTGGTCATCTGAGGGGAGTGATTGTTGAATAGATTCATCAGAAGGAGAAGGAGAAGGAATTTGTACAGGATCAAGAGTTTGACTTGGCGGAGTTCTCACTTGATTATCGACCTGTCTACCTGACCGAAGTGAATGGATTGCATTCACTTGAGCTTCATAGGATGAACTGCATCCTGTGTTATTAGGGTTGACCACGGGTTGACTCGGAAATTTTCCTTTCTCTCTTTCACTCACGGCACTAGCTAGTTGACCAAGTTGGGATTCTAATCTAGCTATAGCTTGAGTGTTGGAGTTGAGCATTTGTCCGGTTGATTGCATGAAGGAATTCAACGTGCTAGATGTTTGAGTCAACATATTCGTGGTTTGAGTAGAGGCCTTAATTATGGTTTCTAAACCCCTTTCCAAGACATTGAGACGTTTATCTTGATCTGGATTGTGAGGAGTTTGAATTACAGCTTGATGAGGAGGAGACTGATTTTGATACGGCAGATTGGGTTGTTGAAATTGTGAATGAGAATTGAATGGAACTGTGTTTCCCCTAGGAAAATGTTGGGTCGAAGCGGGAGTGAAATTTTGAGTTCCGGGAGAATTTCCTAGATTCCATGCAAAGTTGGGATGATTTCTCCAACCTGGATTGTAGGTTGGAGAAAATGGATCATTTCTAGGGTGCTGGAATGCAGCGTTCATCTGTTCTATTGCGTTGTTATTTCCTAGGAGAGGGCATTCCTCTGAAACGTGGGTAGGAGACTGACAATTATGACATCCTGGGAAAGAAACATGATTGAGTTGAGCTGGAGCTCGTTCCTTAATTTCTAAGGCTTCTAACCTCCGCAGAATTGTCGCCATCTTCGCTTCAGAAGCAATGTTTGACTCCAAGGAAAGACCACTAGACTTAGAATGGGGAACTGATGAAACCCTGTCATCGCACTGTTCCCATTGCATTGTTTTTTCAGAAAGACTCTCCAAAAACTCCCAAGCTTCATCAGCATTTTTCCTCATAAAATCCCCGTGGCACATTGATTCTAAGGAAGTTTTTGCAGAATAATCTAATCCCTCATAAATTATTTGGCACAATCGCCATTTCTCTAAACCGTGATGAGGACATTGGATGAGAAGATCTTTAAATCGGTCAAAATACTTCCAAAAAGGTTCTCCCGGGATAATTTTAAAGTTTTGAATGCTGTTCCTAAGCTTTACCGTTTTATGAATAGGAAAAAATTTCTTAAGAAAAACGGTGACAAATTCATCCCAAGTTGAGATGGAATTTGTTGGTAAGCTGTACAGCCATTTTTTAGCTTTATCCTTAAGAGCAAATGGAATAAATCTAAGCTTAACCGCATCTTCATTTAATTCTCTCATTTTAATCATAATACACACTTCCTCAAATTCCGAAATAAAAATATATGCGTCTTCTGTTTCATTACCAAGGAATTTGGGAAGCATGTTTATGTATTGCGGTCTAAGCTCAAAACTTATTCCATTTGTTTCGGGGAGCCTAATGCATGAGGGGATTGCATTCCTAATGGGATAGCACATATCATGAAGAACGGGTGGATTAGGATGCTCCATTTCTATGATTGGTTCAAAGCGAATTAATCGATGTGTATTATCCCTAATCCACTGTTGCATACACCAAAATATTTCTTTTTATTTTTTTTCTTAAATTAGTTTTTTTTTTGAGAAGATAAAGAAAAAGAAAAATCCTAACTGAAACAAATCAAAACAATCACTTTTCAATCAACTCTAATTCTAGGGTTTAGCCTAACTCAACTAGACCAGCTCCTAACCAAAAACTCCTACAGTGAAAAGATCAAAGTTTTACCCAGGTAGTTAGCCAGGTAAGGATAGTACTAGAGGGTGATCAAAGATCAATTAAGTACCTCTTTCCTTGCGGAGCGCTTTACGCAACCCCTAAACCTTGCCTTAGACACCAACTAATCTGAGAAAACTTAAACCGGTTCACTTAAGGATTTCTTGTTCCTTATTGAGCTCGAATCCTTAGGGGCCAACGTCTAATGAGTTTTATTAGGCTTGGGTGGTGTAGTGAGGAATTAGTGATTTTTGGGCTAAGGAAAGGGTGATGAAATCCCTCACCTTATCTTGATTATGGGGTTTTGCCCTTAAAAATATTTTTAAGTGTGTGTCAAATCAAGATGCTCAAATCACTTGGTGAATTCCTACACTATATGAAATGCAACCCTATGAATTAAAAGCAACTAAAAAGGATGGAAAAGAAAAATCTTTTTTTTTAATTAGGGTTAACAATCAAACAAATGAGAAGGGGGGATTTGTTTGAATTTATTATCTTGTTAGTAAATGTCAAAGTGAAGGGTGAATTTTATTATGGTCAACGGAAATAAAATCTTTTTTTTTAAGATCCTAATTGTCACTAATTGTGAGAAACTAACTAAAGGTGTGGAATTGAAAATATAAGGAAGAAGACTTACCACAAGCGAATATCCAATTCCTCAATCTCCAATTCTTGATCTTTAATCTCCAAGTAGTTCTTTCACAATAAACACACAAGTTAAAGAACCAAAATAATTAAAACCTACTTAAGCACCTTCCCCGGCAACGGCGCCAAAAACTTGATGCGGCATAAACATGTACCAAAAAGGTTGCAAGTGCACAACCGTGTCAAGTTATAGTATTTAAGATATCGATCCCACGAGGAAGGTGTTTTGTAGGAGAAAATATAAAATCGGTTCTTATGTTGTGTGTGTGACAAGTAGGAGTGATAAGTGAATGTGATTGTGAAGAGATTGAGAGAGTGAAAGTGGTGTGTAAATAGGTGCAAAGTGTAAATGAGAGTGAGTATGAACAATAAGGTGAGAAGGAAAAATGAATAAAATCAAGAAACAAATAAAAAATCAAGAATGAAGAACAAAATTCTAGAATAAAAGAAAATGCAAGAAATTAAAGATGGTGGATTCAATTATAGATATGGGTAATCTACAATTGAACCCACTTCTTAGAAAAGGGTGATTCCCTAGAGGGTTCTAGCCTAAAGGCGAATCAAACAAAATAAAAATAAACAAAAAGAAAAACTAAACCCAAGAGGGTTCTAGCCTCAAGGTGAATAGTATAAGAAATTAAAATCTAACTACAAAATAAATTATAAAATCTAAACTACAAAATAAAATTGCAAGAATTAAATGCAAGAAAATAAATCTACTCTATAAGCATGAAATAAATCTAAGGCAAGAGGGTTCTAGCCTCTTGGCTATTTAACAAAAGTATAGAAATAAATCTAAACTAATAAGCAATAAAAGAGAAAAGAAATGCAAACCTTCAAATTGCTCTTCATCTCCATCATCATCATTCCACAAAGAGGAGAAAGAACAAATTTAAAGAGGAAAAATTATTATTATTAATTGCAACTAAAGTTACAATTTTTGGAAGGCCTTCTCAATTAAGAGTAGCCCTCCTCTCCAAAAGGAGTTTACAAAATTTTCACACCTCTAACCCCTCACTCTCTACCCCTATTTATAGTAAACATCAGTGAATGAGAGCCATTGGATCAAACTTGAGCCCCAAGACAATTACAAAAATTTTTACACCTCTAACCCCTCACTCTCTACCCCTATTTATAGTAAACATCAGTGAATGAGAGCCATTGGATCAAACTTGAGCCCCAAGACAAGCAAAATCAGCCATTGACGCGCGCTACAGTAATCTGGTATCGATGCAGGCATCGATGCAGGTATCGATGCCAACATCGATGCCCACATTGATGCCGACATCGATGCCCACTATTTCCAAATTCTGATTTCACGGATAGCTTCGTCTCATCGAGATAGACGATTTTCATATATTATATGTTAAATTTCGCCTTCCGGATTAGGAGATATCGTTGTTTCTTTGTGGCCAATCATTTTGAATATGATTTCTTTTCATATTGGATTTTTGATTTTCTCCGGCTTCTACAGGCTACACGACTTCATTCTGGGCTTTTGGATAATTTGGAAATTGATTTTCCAATGTGCTTCTTTGCTTCATTTCTTCATTTAATCAATGGGTTTTTGTTGAGAGATGAGAGTTTGAGATTTATTCTTCATTAACCTGCAATTAAAAGATAAAAATAATTATTAGTGGTATATTTATTCATATAAAATAGATAATGAGGGTATAAAATTATAATAAAATATGATTATCAGTCTCCGTAAATAAATCCCCCTCATAAAAAGGTTAGGGCTCAACTCGAGGGGAAAAAACCAAATCGGAAAAAAGGAGAAAAAAATCAATCCCCAAATCCGCGTCAAGTCCCATCTCCACTGTCAATTCTCAAGACTTCTCGCGGGAATTCCCCCTCCGCTTGCTGAACCCCAAAAATTCTCGGCGAATCTTTGCCCTCGAATCTCTAGGGTTTCCTTAATCCCATAAAGTTCCAATTTTTAAGATGTTAGATCTAATACCATAAAACCATGATTTAATTCAAAGAGATTAACAAGAATCAAAAGGTGCGGAAGCATATACCTGAATCCATTGAAGAAAACTTGATTAGGGTTTTGATGATCTTCTAACCTTAGGGTTTCTCTCTTATGGATCTCTTTAGATGGGATAAGAGAATGAGAGTGGTTAACCCTAGATTAGGGACCATAACCTCATATATATAGGTGTTGTACATTTGTAATTTGGCTCCTCATCAAATTACAGTTACAACCTGGTATCTGCACATATAACCCCATGACTTATTTAAATACCGATTAACCCAAATTAATTGATCACTTTAGTGGGTTATCCTGAAAGATAGCAATACACATTGATTAATCATATGTGCCCTCAAATAGATTTATTAGATTAAATCCAACAATCTCCCACTTGGGCACCATATGATTCCTTAAATTGTGTATAACCTTATGAGTTCAAAAACTACTATCATTGAAAAAAGGTATTTCCGAACAATCTCGTCCATTGACTATATCAATATAGGATCAAAGCGGCCTTCGTCACATTTATCGTGACTCGACCCATCAATGGTCACATATACCAATACAATCAAACGACATAGATCAATCATGGATATGCAGCATGAAAATTACATGCAATGTGATCAGTACATGTCTATTTTCAACTGGTCCTCCTTAGTGAGGTCAAAACCAAACATAATGTAACAGAGTGTCTTAACTGAATACTTTATTCTGATCAGACAATACAACCAAACATAAAGCACCACAATTACAAACTCCCACTAAATCATGATATCCTTGAATAACACCACACTCATATGAAAAGTATGCTCTTGAAAGACCTTGGATGGCAATCCTTTAGTAAGAGGATCTGCTATCATGGGGTTTGTCCCAATGTGCTCTATGGATATCTGTCCACTCTGTACCATTTCTTTTACAACCAGGAACTTAATATCAATATGTTTTGATTTAGTTGAGCTCCTGTTGTTATTGGAATACATAACTGCAGATTTAATGTCATAAAATAACCTCAGTGGTCTTTCATTATTTTCCAAAATGCGCAGTCTAGTGACAAAATTTTATAACCATATTCCATGATTTGATGCCTCATAGCAAGCTACAAACTTTGCTGTCATAGTGGAGGAAGCTACGAGTGTCTGTTTTACACTTTTCCATGATATAGCTCCTCCTGCTAACATATAAATGTAGCCTGATGTAGACTTTCTGCTATCTTGGCATCCAGCAAAATCAGAGTCTGAATACCCAATGACCCCTAACTGTTCTGATTTTCTATATGTGAGCATATAATCTTTTGTTTTCTGAAGATACCTCATAACCCTTTTGACTGCTATCCAATGATCAATACCAGGATTGCTTAAGTATCTGCCTAACATCCCAACAATGTACGCAATATCTGGACGCGTACATACCTGAGCATACATTAGATTTCCTACAGCCGAAGCATAAGGAATCTTCTGCATTTCCTGAATTTCAAGGTTACCTTTAGGGCACTGATTTAGACTAAACTTATCTCCTTTAGCAACAGGGGTATCTCCTGGTCTGCAGTCATGCATGCCAAACCTTTTAAGTACCTTATCGATATAGCTCTTTTGTGATAATCCAAGAATACCCAGAGAGCAATCTCGATGTATCTGGATCCCTAATATAAAAGATGCGTCCCTAAGATCTTTCATCTCAAAATTCTTTGATAGAAATCTCTTGGTTTCGTGCAACATGCCTATATAATTCTTTGATAGAAATCTCTTGGTTTCGTGCAACATGCCTATATCATTAGTGGCAAGCAATATGTCATTGACATACAGAACCAGAAAAATATACTTACTCCCACTGAACTTGTGATATACACAGTCATCAATAATGTTCATCTCAAAACTGAACGAGATAATTATTTGTTAAAACTTATGATACCATTGACGAGAAGCTTGCTTGAGTCCATAGATGGATTTCCTTAATTTGCAGACCATATTCTTTGGGTCTCCTGACACAAAGTTTTCTGGTTGCACCATATAGATCATCTCATCAATGTCGCCATTGAGAAATGCAGTCTTAACATCCATCTGATGTAACTCAAGATCATAATGAGCAACAAGTGTCATGATTATTCTGAAAGAGTCTTTCGATGAAACCGGAGAGAAAGTCTCTGTATAATCAATGCCTTCCTTTTGAGTATAGCCTTTAGCCACAAGACGTGCCTTATACCTCTCCACATTACCATTTGCATCCCGCTTGGTTTTAAAAATCCATTTATAACCAATTGGTTTTGCACCTTCTGGCAATGGGACAAGTTCCCAAACCTTATTGTCTTGCTTAGACTTGTACTCTTCATTCATGGCATCAATCCACTGTTGAGAGTTAGAACTTTTCATGGCCTGAGAGAAGTTGATTGGATCATCTTCTAATATTCCACTACTTTCCTCATGTTCTTGAAGAAATATAATATAATCATCCGAAATAGCATTTCTCCTTTCTCTCGTGGATCTCCTTAATGGCACTGGTTCTTGAGGTTGTTGAGTTTGTTCTTCTGGAACACATTTCTCCTTTCTCTCGTGGATCTCCTTAGTGGCACTGGTTCTTAAGGTTGTTGAGTTTGTTCTTCTGGAATAGGGAGTTGTTCAAAATTATCATCTTGAGGTTCCGAATTTACTTCTTGAGCAATAACAAGTATAGGAATTTGAATATTGTCAAAAGTAACTGTATGGATTGGATCTGAAGCCAATTCCTCCTCAAAACTAATGTCTCTAACCTTATTTCTCCCCCCAAACTCAACATCCTCAAAGAATGTTGTTGTTCCCGTCTCAAAAATATTCTTTAGTGTGGGATCATAAAACTTATAGCCCCTAGAGTGTTCAGAGTACCCAATAAAGTAGCTGCTAACTGTTTTGGAGTCCAATTTCTTTTCATTTGGCCTGTAAGGCCTTGCCTCAGTTGGACATCTCCAAATATATAAATGCTTTAAACTGAGCTTTCGACCAGTCCAAATTTCATAAGGTGTTTTAGCAACTGCTTTACTTGGTACTGTATTCAGAATGTAAGCTGCTGTCTTTAGTGCTTCTCCCTAGAGAGACTCTGGTAAAGAAGAATGAGCAATCATACTTCTTACCATATCCTTAAGAGTCATGTTTCGTCTTTCAGCTACACCATTCATGCTAGGTGAACCCGGCATGGTGTACTGTGGGACGATACCGCATTACTCTAGGTATCTAGCAAATGGTCCTGGACGTTGTTCACCTGAACCATCATATCTTCCATAGTACTTACCACCACGATCAGATCTAACGGTTTTAATTCTTCTGTTGAGTTGATTCTCAACTTCAGCTTTATAGGCTTTGAACATGTCTAGAGACTCAGATTTTTCATGAATAAGATATAGGTGCTCATAACGTGAGTAATCGTCTATGAATGATATAAAATATTGTTTGACCATTCCAGGATTCCATAGGGAATGACCCACAAATATCCGTATGTATCAATTCTAAGACATCCGAAGATCTGTTGGCACCTAATCTCTTAACTTTGGTCTGTTTTCCCTTAATGCATTCAACACATACGTTAAAATCTAAAAAATCAAGGGAATCCAAAATACCATCAGACACAAGACGCTCAACTCTACCTTTTGAGATATGACCCAAGCGCTTATGCCATAATGTCGCTAAATTTTCCTTATTTAATTTACGCTTAGTACCACGTGATTCCACATGCAAGGATTCATTATAAGAAGCAATTGTATCGAGCAAATATAGGTTGTCATAAGTACTCAAGTAACCAGTTCCCACAATATATGAATTAAAAGATAATCTGAATTGATTGTTTCTGAATGAACAATGATAACCTGATTTGTCCAATACAGAAACAGAAACCAAATTTCGTCTAAAAGACGGTACTACAAAAGTATTTTTTAAGTCCAAATAAGAACCAGTTCCTAATAGCAACCTAAAGTGCTCAATTGCTTCCACATCTACCGATTGTCCGTCGCCTACAAAGATGTGTCTTTCAACATCACTTGGCTTTCGGTAGCTCAGGCAACCCTGCATAGAAACACTTATGTGAGTAGTAGCACCAGAGTCTAACCACCAAGTGTTTCTAGGTACTGAAGCTAAATTAACCTCAGAACAGACCAAAATAAGGAACATACCCTTCTTAGCACGCCAGGCGTGATATTTGGTACAATCTTTCTTTACGTGTCCAGGCTTGTTACAGAAGTAACAACCCTGATTATCCTTATATTGTTTCTTCTGAACTGGACCATTAGCAGCTTCATTATCATTGTTTCTTTTCTTGCCCTTAGCCTTAGAGGCATAGGCCAAATGAGCACTTTCTGTCTTATCTTGCTTCAACCTGTCTTCTTCTTGCACATAGTATGAGATGAGCTCATTTAGAGTCCACTTCTCCTTTTGACAGTTATAACCGACCTTAAACTGATTGAATTGTGTAGGAAGAGACAACAAAATCAGATGCACCAATAACTCATCACAAAGATCGAGTTTAAGTACCTTAAGCTTTGAAGCAATATGAGATATTTCCATAATGTACTCCCTGATATTTTCTTTGCCCTTATACTTCATTGAAATCAAGCGAGCTAAAAGCGTGCTTGTTTCTACCTTATCGTTTTTCGTAAAACGTTTCTCAATTTCGGGAAATCAAGCGAGCTAAAAGCGTGCTTGTTTCTACCTTATCGTTTTTCGTAAAACGTTTCTCAATTTCGGTAAGGAAATCTTTAGCCTTAGTAATCCCTTCGGATTCTATGTCTCTGAAGGCTTCCGGAACGCCGCGCTTAATGATCATAAGACTCATACGATTTGAACGCTCCCATTTCTCATACTCCTTCTTTGCATCAGGAGTGCTATCCGCATTGAGAGGTTGAGGTTGTTCAATTCTTAATGCAAGGTCGAGATCCATGCAGCCAAGAACAATTAATATGTTTTCTTTCCAAACCTTGAAGTTTGTCCCATTTAGCATGGGAATTGAGTTGATGTAAGCAGAAATTGTTGCAGCAGATGCATTAGCTGAAATAAAACAAAAACTCACATCAATAACCATAATTACTAATCAATAAGATTCAAATAATGACAAATCTCATCCAAGATATCTGGCACAACATTAATATCAAGTCTTTGGACAGTAATATTAATTGCAAGTGATACATTGTTGCAATGATCAAACATTGATAATAACTCATGTTAAATAATGAAACTATCTTTGGATCGATTCATTATTCACATGTAAACCTTATAATTGTCACACGTTTATCATCGCAGATGTGTATGCAGTCTAAATAAATATTAACCTTCCTTTGGGCCGATTAAATATTTACACGAAAGCATACACACAAACATCTCACATTCCTCATGAACAATCTACACAAGAGAGGTTACTTTGGCAACTTCTTGTTTCAATTAAACAATTGGAGTGAGAGACAACCTTAATACCTTAGTGTCATAATATTTGAATTAAATAATTGATTAACTGCTAAATTAAATTTAAATTAAATTAAATTAATTTAAATTTCCATAGCTTAAATAGGGCCCATAACTTAATTGAATAAATTAAGTATACCAAAGTGGACCCATTACGTAATATGAGAAGCCAATGCTTAACCATAGTGAACACGAAGTTCGCTTGACTTCGAACGCGAGGTTCGTTTGTATTGAGTACGAGACTCACCTAAGCACGAACGCGAGGTTCGTTTGAAAATGAACATGATGTTCAACTTGAGAACGAACGTAATGTTCGTTTTGAAAAATGAACGCAAGGTTCGACTTGAGAACGAACGCAATGTTCGTTTGAAAACAAACGCGAGGTTCGACCTGAGAATGAACGCAATGTTCAACTTGAGCACAAACGCAATGTTCGTCTGAAAACGAATGCGAGGTTGACCTGAGAATGAACGCAATGTTCAATGAGAACGAACGCAGCGTTCGTTTGAACGCAATGAACGAATGAACGCAATGTTCGTTTGAACGCAATGTTCGATGAGAACGAACGTAGCGTTCGACGAACGCATGTTTCGTTAGAGAACGAACGTGGGTTCGTTTGAGAACGAACGCAAGGTTCGTTTGAAGCTTTCAAGCCTCGCCAAAAATTGAGGTAACCACCTCCTTAATTTCCGCACGTTTTCACGCGTACGAACCCCTTGAGGGTTTAATCTAAAACCGCCGCCGCTGAATCAACTTCGACGAGGAGTTTGGAGATTGACGACAGATCAAAAAACCCAAAAAAAAGGATAATTATTTTTCTGTCGATTTTTGAACTCAAATCATTTAGATCCAAACCTCAAAAATTGAATCAAACACAAAAGAAATGAACTTTAGAGTTCATAATTGCTACAGATCCAAAAATCGAAAGAAAAAACCAAACGAACAGGAAATTTTACTATTCATCCAAAAATAAAATTTTTTACTGTTACCCGAAAATAAAAAACTTTACTGTTCATCCAAAAATAAAACGGTTACTGTTTATCCGAAAATAAGAAACTTTACTGTTCATCCGTGAACGGATCTGAATCAAATACAAATTAAGATCAAAGAACCCTAATTTTAATCTTAATCTCTTAGAACAAATCAATGGTGGCTCTGATACCACTTGTTAGATCTAATAAGAACTTGAGATCTAAAACCATATAGCCATGATTAATTCGAAGAGATTGACAATAATCAAAAGAGCGGAAGCTTATACCTGAATCCATGGATGAACCTTGAGATGGGTTTTGGATCTTCTAACCTTAGGGTTTCTCTAAATCCGAATTTCTCTAGCTAGATAGATTAGGGACCATAACCCCATATATATAGGTGTTGTACATTTGTAATTTGGCCCCTCATCAAATTACAGTTACAACCAGCTGGTATCTGCACATATAACTCCATGACTTATTTAAATACCCATTAACCCAAATTAATTGATCACTTTAGTGGGTTATCCTGAAAGATAGCAATACACATTGATTAATCATATGTGCCCACAAATAGATTTATTAGATTAAATCCAACATAAGAGTTTTAGTTAAACCCACATGCAATCAGGCGGCAGGTCCCATGGACGGGACCCGAGGACGCCTTCTTCTTCATCGCCGTCGCCGTCGCCGTCTTCGTCTGCTGTCTCGAATCAATTAGGGTTTGAATCGAGGCAGCAGCAGCAGCTCAATTTGATGAATGTGAGTGTAAATTGCACGCCTTTTTTGGTATTTGTTTTTGTCCTGTGTCGGTTATGGTTTGCATTGGGATCTGGACGATGGCGGCGGTTATTATGGTTACTTTTCCTGATTCAATCAATGTCCCGCTCCTTGTATTCTATTTTCACTTAAAAAAACCTTTTTTTAACTACTCAGTCACCTACACTTTATTATTTCTTTTCCCTTCAACATTTTGTGAAATGAGTGTCTCTTTTTATTTATTTATTATGTCGTATGTTTTTCTTTCCCCCTGACCTTGACTGCTATAATTTTTGATATATATCATGGTAATTGGTTGGTTATTTTCCTGTCTCTTTTGGTTTCTTTTGCACTTTACACTATTAAACGAGGAAGTTTTCTTCAGGTTAAACTTTTGAGTTTGGTTATTTTCTTAATTAACTTTTGAGAGTGGATTGAGTTTATCATAAATTGTTTCCTTTATTAATTATCTTGGCACTTTGCTGTTTTTTATATGGCTGCTGTCCTGAGGACTGTTTGTTAGTTGTAATCTTTATTATTTTTTAATGATTGGGAAGTGGGTTTTGCTGGGTTGCCTCTCTTAAATGGTTTCGTTTGTTTGTTTGAAGTTACTGAGTTTCTTTGACGCTTGGATAACTTAATTTGATTGTGCTGTCATGTTCATCCTGTAATTTTGTAAGTCCTGTTGCTTGATATGATAGTGTTGCTTTTTATAAAACTAGTTGTATTGCGGTAAAATTTGTATTTTTTATTTAAAATATAATATTATTTGTAGAAAGATGTTGCATAAATTTATTAAATGTAAACAATATAACTAAGATATGAACATAAGCTTAAAATTCACAAGGTATGAACAATAAAATTATATTTAGTATGCTTTTAATTCTCGAAGTACGGAATCTTGTTATATTTCTCAAGAAGCTTGTTTTGCACATATGTATAGCAGAATTGTAATCTTTGAAGTATGTTCACTTATAAACAGAATTTTTGGCTACAACCCATAAAAAAGAGAAATGCATCAATCGATAATTGTGCTTAATTAGCTATTTTGTTGTATTTCGCCAATCTTGTAACCATTTCGTTCTTTTTAATCATACACAATTAGTATTTGAATATTAAAACATCCATTGTTCCAGATAGCTAATCATATTAGAATATACAAACGTCTACCATTTCAGATAGCCAATCAGTTTGTTCCTTGAAACTTGTTGTAGTTTCCGCAGTTGAGAGAGTTGTATACAGCACATTTTCAATTCATCAAGCAGAAACTGAAGGATGTCATAAGTTCAATTCTTTTCTTTTGACACCTCTATTGGTTTTGAACTGGCAATTCCTTTCGTGCTGGCCTCATTGTGGCCTTACTGTCTTCAATGGTGGTAAGTTCTTGAAATTATAGCTGTCAAAACAATCTTGAAAATTACCATGATATTATAATCAGTAATTGTTGCTTTTGCTTTCTGTCGCAGGTGAACATTTGCTAAGATCAGATACAATGCAAGAAATTGAATGATTATTTATTGCAGTATTTGCATGGAAAAGTGAGGCGAATAAATCTGAGTTAGCAAATGAAGAATCACACTATTTGCGTAAAATTCAAAGATGCTATTTTTTCAAATTGTGTGCTGGAAAATAATTGACAGGAATAATTAGCATTATGGCAGTTAATAGAAGTAGTTATTGTATGATGAATGATTCTTAGCGTAAGGGAGATCACCTTAAATCATTGGTAAAATGCAAAGAGCACAAATATTTATTAAGATTTGAGATTGACAATTTTCTATTCCTGAGGTGGCTTATTTTTTATTGGTACGTTTTATATCCTTGTTGTCTTTACGATCACCATGGGTGTGTTTACTGGAGCTGCACCAAAAAGAAACATGTATGAGCCTGGAGCTTAGTTGATTTTTGACATATAATTAGGCATTTGATGATTGTGGAAAGTACATTATCATTGTTATGACACTTAATGAAAATGACATATGGAATGATTATATTCACATTATGTATCTCCGTTTTAGATATCTTGCCTCTTAGAGTTGTCAATTTCATCAATCCCATTTTTATCATCTTATGGTCAATCTTAAGACTTTAATATTAAAAAGATAATAACCATCATGAAAAAGGACAACTAACTAAAATTTCAGGACATAAAATTAGGATATCATATACTGCATAATGGAAATTGAAGTACTTTATTGAACCATAATATCGTAACTACACAAAAAGGAAAACACATACGGAAATAAGGAGATATATGGTATCCTGATGCTCAAGAAATTGGAGTAATTTATTATCCATTCGAAGCTGGCCCTGTGGCATCTAATTGTATTTGCAACCCTGATTAAAATAAAAGGATAAAAGCATTAAAGACCATCATAAGCTATCTAACTAATTCATTAGGATAATAGTAAAGAATAGATATATGTACCTCCTGAATTAAGATTTATTTTGAAAGTAACCGCATAAAGAGGCAGTACATGCGTCTTGACATGTGGATAGCATACTATACTTTGAAGGAGCTTGCTGGTTATCTACACCAGAATCAAAATCTCACGAAATTTGACCTGTTTGTCTTGAGCTGGGAAGTATTGCATATTTGCTTCCCAAGATGACACGACAGATCACCATATGCATCAGTCCATCTTCACTAATTGGTGCGGAAATAAGGCTGCAAAACATTTATCATGAGCGTTAGGTTAATGTAAATACTAAAAGTCGCAAATGCACAATACAAAGGGAATTTTTTTTTCTTTTTCTTTTTCAAATAGTTAATGTCTACAGACAATGCAATAAATTACCTTGTTTGCTTATAATAAGTTGTAGGTGACCATCTTGCGAAGTGGAATAAAGAATCTTAGAGTTAGGAAAAAAAAATATCAAGCTGGACCTTAGTGAATAATATAAGATATTTGTTAGATAATGTTAGATGTGATTAGATATGATTTTATCTCCTACCTATTTTGTAACATCCTTCTAATCTCTATTTAAGACAGATAAAGCGTTATATGGAATAATATCTTTGCCTAATCTATTTCTCTAAACAACACATAATAATTTGCCAAGTTATATTACTTTGTTCTATCCAAGGAATCTGCACAGTTGAAACTTATTATTCCATTTTGAAGAGATATGAGGCAGAAATCGCCATCAAAATCCCTGCTACAAACCACTGGTCCTTTGTATTCATTGAGGCGCAGTGGTGAAGGAAAATAATCTCCTTCACAGAAGCCAATCGCTATTGTGGGTGGTTTTACAAGCTTCCATAGCCCCTCCACAGTCTGCTGCTCACCTCTTGACTTCATAGTAGCATGCCCGTCATAATTGATCAACTGAATCCATGTCTGATGAAGTCTTCCAGTTGATCTGATATATTTTACAGGTTTCATAAAATGTTCAACCAAAATTGTTTCCGACTTTCCTTCTCCATTTCTAAGTAAGTTAACACAAATGATAGGTACCAAAGGAGTTTTCCTTTGTCCACCAGCACTTAAACGGGGATCCCGAGCACCATATCTACGACTTAATCTCTGATAATACTGCAAGCTTCCTTTGTAGGGATCCTGAGCTGAAACATTAATTTCAGCTTCCACAGCAGAGAACTTCAACTCTGCCCCCCACCATATTGGTATGGTACCTTGTCGCCACACATATGAATTAAATGGGAACAAAATAACTGCTGGGTGCTAACAGATTAAAGAAGAAATAATATATAGCAAAATGTTTAATCAAATTTGTGCGTAAAGCTACTTACAGTTCCATCTATAATTGCTGAAAGGGTTAGATAATCGAATACATTAGTACAGTACCGCCAGGCGTTATCATTTCCATACTTCCGTTGGCATTTGTCATAAAAACCGTAAACCTAGAAACATGATTTCCATTAATACATACACAAAAAAGATTTGCTCAAAATGTTCATATCTTTTAGATCCCTTCTAAAGACAAATTACGTTTCCATGACAAATTGGCATAGAAGTACAATAGCAGAAAATTGGAATGAAAAATATCCAAAGAACATTTCTTTCCTTATAAGGTGTCAAATCTGAAACCAATGAACCTTTGATAGGTAAAATATACTATTTCACGATAAAGCAATTCCTGAAGGTGTAGTAGATGGAGCAAGCCACATTGGTAACTTTGCAGTACTTTTGTGATAATATGAACTCACTTGAACTTTCAATTTCCTCAATGTTGGAACATTGGTAATCCCAACTGGCACGCAAGCCAAACAACATAGTAATATAGCATATTACTCTATTTTTCCTTCTTCGCGAAGTATTTGTTTCCTATCCTTCCATTTACCCATTTGGCTTTCATTTTGCATCAGAGTTGACTCTAGTTACCTGAAGCAAACCTCTCAATTTCCCCCCTTATTTCAGGTTCTTTTCCTTAATTGAATGGGTGAAATTGCATCAGCAAATCGGGAGGTAATTTAACTAACGAACTGACTTTTTAAGGATTTGTGATGGACTCCGCTCGTGTAAAATTTCCTGACCAAGCAGAAACATGGAGGTGCTACACTAAGTAGAAGTCAGAAGCAGGAACTTGCTAAAAATCTCTGCTTGAATGACAACCCAATTCTAGTGGAAAAATACTCGGGTTACAAGAATGATTCAAAAAAGGACCTATGATAAACTCATCAAGAGCCAAAAGACATCAAAGTTGGAAAAAGAAGTACTCCCATAGCTAGCATGAAGATTAAGAGAAGATTGTTCAGAAGGCCTTGGATCAATTTCTTAAAATAATATCCTGAAGTCAAGATATCAAAGGGCTCTCCTAATATGGTTGTTTCTCCACCTTATCACAATTTGGGTAGATCATATTAAGTTATAAATCAACTCGGCGTAATGTAGAGATTTCATAAAAAATATTGAGAGAAAAATCCAAAGAAAATAAGCAATAATAAGTATAACATTTTTCAAGCAACCTGCACAAAGCATGCATAGAATTCTTAAAAGGGCAAAAAGAAAGGATTTCAGACTGATAATTACTGTCAGAAGTGAACACAAACAGAAGACTGGAAACAGATTTGAGGTCACAATTTGTGTGGAATTAAATATAGGAAATCTAAGAAGACAAAAATGAATAAGCAGCTAAAATGGGCAACTAAACTGATCAACTTTGTAGTGTAAAGACACCACAACATTTAAGTAACCTGGTCACAAATGACAGTAAGACATTGTTCCAAACATATGGCAAAAGCTATAGCCAAACTAATAAAAGCATACCTGTGTGGAAACATTAGGTTTCTCGTTTTATAAGCACGTTAAGGCCTATTAGGCGCATCCATTTATTCAAACTCATTAATAATACTTATCTACAAAATTTATAGCACTAAAGCTTGCGGAATCCAAACTATGACAAAGAATTTAGCCTTCCCAAAAGCTGAATAAGCACCTAAATGATCAAAAGGACCATAAGCAATAAGAGCTATCAATACAATTACCAATAAGCCCCCAAAATATCCAGAAATGAAAGTTAGCAATAAAAAAAATCTTTACCTTTTGCTAATTTTGCAGATAGGCAAGTGGTCAAAGTAAACAATAACTGAAAAGAGAAAAATAGAAATTGGATAAAGGTCTTAGAAAAGGCAAGACCCATGAATCAAATACCTCTGTCTATAAACGTACAATTAACTAAATCTCTGGAATAAATTGAATAACCTCATTCCTTTAGCTGTACACAAGCCCACAGATCTTATTATACTTCTGCTCCAGCTCCAGGACTTTATCATTGACTTCTTTCTTGACCTGTCAAATATAAATCATATTAGCCAAGAAAGGGGGGAAATGTGGATCTAATGTACAACTTTTCATAATTATTATGTTTTGGTCTATTCCTTTTGATAATGTATTGGCCTGGAGAATACACTTACCCTATAAGTCTTAACTCTTGAAGATTAATTCATTTTTATGATAATTCTAAAGTTGCCTTCACTATAACATGTCATTAGGTGTCTTGCTTTGAAGATGAACATTTAGCATGGTACAAATTAATGTGAAGGAATAATTGAAGATATTTTGGACTACCATCATAAGTAAGTAGTACACATCAATCGAATTGAAAAGTTATAAACGTGAAAATTCAATGGAATTTTTTGCACCACATGCATATTTGATCAGATTGTAAAAATATTAAATCATTGGAAGCAAAAAGCTTCCGTAGTGAATAAAAGAACACTATTAATTAATAACGGATACTTGTTAACATAAAGCTTGGTTTGAACAGAGAGCCTTGAAGATAGCATATGCTTCGTATTTTATAGAAAAATCACATATGTGAACAATGATATATATGCAATTGGCGACCCATAACATCATGCATGTAACAAACTATAAAGGTTTATATCACAAAGCATGAAAAAACATATAAATGAAGTAGATTATCATTGATCTATATACTTAATCACCACAACATAAGTTTTTAAAGAAAAGCAATACAATATAATTCTTCAATAAGAACTATAAACTATATTGACAATTAAACTATTATTGATTTTTAATTCAAGCCTAAGAATAAACCATCCAACACCCAAGTAGTAAATGATGATGCCTTGAGGATGCTAATTAGGTTTGTTTTGAATTGAAAGTTAGGCATTTAACATTTACTTAAACTAAATAAAAGCATGCATAGCAAAAGAAAAAGTTTCTATTTTCTATTTCAATTCAATCAAAATATATATATAATCCAACAAACCAAATTAATTTTATATCAAACATTAATATTTACCTTGATAGATGGGAGATTCAGCAACCTTCAAATCCTAAATCCTGTAAATAATGCATAAAAACTGAAAAAATTAGAAAAATATCAATTGTCGTAAAAACTAATTGCAGTGCAAGAAAATAAACTAAATTCCAATGCATAGAACCTAAATTGCCTCAGAGAAAACAATTACGTTGGTGTTATGCTTAATTTCAAAATACAAAAAATTTCATAATGAAATTAATCACATATCAAAACATCATACCTACTTTTATTTGAATTCTAAGAATTAAGAAAGATGTCGCACAGACTAAGAATTTTCAAAATAAAATCAAAATTTACGAGAAAAAAAAGGATAACAAAAATTCCTAATAGCTCTTTTCCCATAAAGGATACCTGAATTTCTAAAACAAACAAAATTGATAAATTGCTTAAAAAAAGGAAAAGTGAAGGGAAAAATTATTTACCTGCTACCGCCCGCTGGCAGCTCTCTCCACCCATCGTTTCGAATCCCTCTCCTTCTCCCCTGCGTAATAACCCGTCGCCATCTCATTCATCTCCCCAAACACTAACCCCTCCGAAACCATAACCCTAACCTCCTCGTGCTCCTCCTCTTCCTCTCTCCTCGCCGCCATGAGATCCACATCTCGTCCCTCTCCCTCACCTCTCTCTTGAGCTCCCCGACCCTCCCCCTCAACCCCTCGATCTCCTCGTTCGTCGACTCGATCAGATCCAAAAGCCGCTGCTCCTCTTGCTGCCACGCGTGGCGGTGGCTGGCGAAGATCTCGACGACGCGGGCGTTGGCCTTGGAATCCCCCTTCCTCCTCGACCTTAGGGTTTTTAGCTGGTCCTTAGCCTGGAAGAGCTTGATGCTGAGGATTCGGTTGCGGGATTGGAGAGAGGAGAGGTAGGGGATGTAGGATTTGGGGAGGAAGCCTGAGAAGACGGCGAAGGAGAGGCCAAGATAGATGGAGAGAGATGAGGGGTTGGGGTCGTAACCGATGAAAAAGAGAAAAGTGGCTTATCAATTGAGGATACGTTTGGTAACTAAATTTGGTGGAGGGTTATTTTGGGGAGGGTAAAGTTTTTCATGAACTCCCTCTTTTAAAGGGTAATAGAAATAGATGTTTTCTTTTCCTTTTTATATGTTAAGATAACTGAGTGCACCATCACACCATGGACGGTATATGACTCAATCTGATGCCAGTTCTTTGACACTATCCATTTTTGGTAACTGAATGTTAATGATTTTGTTTCCAGAAGTTCTATCACTTGTTCATGCATTTTAATAAAAAAGTATGGTGAAAATAAGTGACTTTATTATTATACTTCCTTTATGAAAATGGTTCTTAATCCAGCTCATCTCTTTTAATTTGGAAATATTTGCAACAATTGCGGCAGCAGCAACAGTCACAGCAACAGCAACTTCTAAGAAAACCTGAAGGAGAGAACCCTGTACCTTACAAAGTAGGTGGTGGTGCACATGTTAGTATTTGTTTGTAAAAAACAAGATAGTCCCACATTAGAATTTTGAACATTCTTTTAGAGGTTTAAAAGCATTGAATGCTTATTGGGCTTTGAATAATGAATCAAAGTGTAGGCTTCTAAACCCGCGTGCGGATAGCGCGAATAATGCGCGATTTTGACGCACTTAGCACTTAGGAGTTTGCACGCTTGTCACTGCCGCTTAAATGTTCCATTTTGAATATATTTTTTTAATGTTATTTTGAATTTTAAAAAATTATGAAAAGACAAGTGACTGTTGAAAAGTGGCTGTTTGCTCCAAGGGGTGTTTAATTTGAAAAGTTGTGACTGTTGGAAGCACATTTTCAAACCTATAAATAGTTTATGTTTTCAGATATCTATTTTAACAATTCTTTTACAAATCTTTTCGATCAAAAACTTATGCAATATTACAAACTTGTTTCACAACGAATTAAGGAAAATTCCAGATTTGCTTACTGGAATTTTTATTTTCTGTTGTATCCTGGGAAGAAAATTTGCATTAACCCGAAGCAACTTTGAATCTCAAGTGGGGGCAAATATTTTTTTAAGGAAAGTCTTTCACGCCTCAGAATTTCTGTCTCATTCAATTTAAAATCTAACAATCTTAAAGAAATATCTCTGCTACAATGGAGTCGGAATCAATCAAGGTGATGAATCAAGACATGGTCAAATTGGACCGATTCGACGGGAATAATTTCTCTCGCTGGCAAGACAAGATGATGTTTCTTCTTACAGCACTGAAGATTCCTACATCCTCAACCCCAACCTACAGCCCATAGAAGATCCAAAACCAAGTGCAGACGGCAAACAACCTACTGAGGAGGAAATAGAAGAAATCAAAAAGCAGAAGGCAAAACGGGAGGAAGATGAAGTGTTGTGTCGCGGTCACATTCTTAACACACTTTCGGACCGATTATATGATCTTTTCACGAGGATAAAGTCAGCAAGGGAGATCTGGAACGCACTGGAATTTAAATACAAAGCCGAGGAGGAAGGTACAAACAAGTATTTAATTGCAAAATATCTAGAATACAAAATGGTTGATGACAAGTCTGTCCTGGAGCAAGTTCATGAATTGGAGGTTCTAGTTAATAAGATTCATGTTCTAAAAATAGTTCTTCCAGAGTCTTTTCAAGTTGCTGCAATTATTGTAAAACTACCATCAACTTGGAAAGATTACTCGAAGAAACTAATGCATAAAACTGAGGATATCTCTTTGGAACAACTTCAGAAGAATCTTAGAATTGAAGAGGAGTCACGCTTACGTGATTCGAAAAATTCTGTCCAAAGTGATTGTAAGGTCCACACTATGGAAAAGAATGAATCTTCGGTAAAAAATGTGAACCTTCAAGTAAAGAAAAGTGGACAACACTTTAAAAGGAAGAATTTTCAGAAGAAAAAGGGATCCTGTTTTATTTGCGGCAAGCCTGGACATTTTGCTAAAGAATGTCGTCATAGAAAAAATAACAATGTAAAATCAAAGGCTTCTGCAAATATGATAGAAGAGAATCTGGTCGCTATGATTTCTGAAATCAATATGGCTTCTGTTAAGTCTGGATGGTGGCTTGATTCTGGTGCAACAATCCACGTTTGCAAGGAAAAATCTTTGTTCAAAGGATTTGAAGAAATTTCGGAAATTACAGAAGTGCAAATGGGGAACAATATATGCTTGTGCAAAGGTTGCTGGAAAGGGGACTGTTGATATAGATTTTACTTCTGGAAAGAAATTGACTCTTATAAATGTTCTGTATGTACCCGAAGTTAGAAAGAACTTAGTTTCTGTTGATCTTCTTTGTAAGAAAGGGATTCGGGTTGCTTTTGAGTCAAATAAGGTTATCCTGTCTAAGAACGGGATGTTTGTGGGAAAGGGCTACTCTTGTGATGGAATGTATCAACTAAGTATTAATAATAAAGTTATATCTTCTGTTTATATTGTTGAGTCTTCATATTTATGGCATGATCGCTTAGCACATTTAAATTTTCGCTATTTGAAAAATATGAGAAAGTTAGACTTCATTAACTTTAATGGTGAATTTGATAAATGTGAAATTTGTGCTAAGTCTAAATTAACAAAGAAATCTTTTCCAAGTGTTTCTCGCAAAGATTCTAAAGTTTTAGATTTAATACATTCTGATATATGTGAATTGAATGGTATGTTAACTAGAGGAGGAAAAAGATACTTTATCACTTTTGTTGATGATTGCAGTAGATATATGTATGTTTATCTTTTAAGAACAAAAGATGAAGCTTTTGATATGTTTAAAAAATACAAAACAGAAGTTGAAAATCAACTTGAAAGGAAAATTAAAGTATTACGTTCTGATAGAGGTGGTGAATATTTTTCTGATAATTTTAATACTTTTTGTGAAGAACATGGCATTATTCATCAATGTACAGCACCTTATACTCCCCAACAGAATGGTTTAGCCGAAAGAAAAAATAGAACTTTACAAGAAATGATAAATTGTATGCTTAATAATGCTAAGTTAACTTTAAATTTATGAGGAGAAGCTTTGTACATAGCATGTTATATTCATAATAGGATTCCCTCTAAAAAGTCAAATATAAGCCCTTATGAGTTATGGAAAGGTAGAAAACCTAATCTGTCACATTTTAAAGTATGGGGGTGTTTGGCTTATTATAGAATTCCTGATCCTAAAAGAACAAAACTTGGACCTAGAGCATTTAAAAGTGTTTTTGTCGGATATGCTGAAAATAGCAAAGCATATAGACTACTTGATTTATCTTCTAATACTATTGTTGAATCTAGAGATGTTGAATTCTTTGAAAATAAATTTTCTGTAGATTTTGAAACTGTTGAAAATGTTCCTATTCTGCTTAACTCTAATAATATTTCTAGTTCTGATTTTCATGGTAAGGAAACGAATACATCTAAAGAAATATTAGAGCCAAGAAGAGGTACTAGAGCAAGAAAAGAGAAATCTTTACCTTCAGATTTTATTTCTCCTGAACAAATTATTTTTCTTGTTGAAGGTGATAGGAATAATAATGTTTTAAATAAACATCCTATAAGTTTTAATCCAGGTGATGATCCTAAAACCTTTATAGAAGCAATGTCATCTAGAGATGCTTCATTTTGGAAAGAAGCTGTCAATGATGAAATGGATTCTATAATGGGAAATAGTACTTGGATTTTAGTAGATTTACCTCAAGGATCAAAGCCAATAGGATGTAAATGGGTTTTAGAAGAAAATATCATTCTGATGGTTCTGTTCAAGCTTTTAAGGCTAGATTAGTAGCCAAAGGGTTTAGACAAAAAGAAGACATAGATTATTTTGATACATATGCACCTGTCGCACGTATAACATCTATTAGAATTTTTATTGCTTTGGCATCTATACATAAATTATTTATGCATCAAATAGATGTCAAGACTGCTTTTTTAAATGGAGATTTAAATAAGGAGGTTTACATGGAACAACCGGAAGGTTTCATTCTTCCAGAAAATGAAAGAAAAGTATGTAAACTAATTAAATCTCTTTATGGTCTTAAACAAGCACCAAAACAATGGCATTAAATCTCTTTATGGTCTTAAACAAGCACCAAAACAATGGCATGAAAAGTTTGATTCTGTTATTCTATCTTATGGTTTCAAACATAATAGTGCTGATAAGTGTATTTATTCCAAATTCACTGATAAATATGGTGTGCTTGTGTGCTTGTATGTGGATGACATGTTAATATTCGGCACTAATATGATTGGTATAAATGAGACAAAAGAGTATCTATCTTCTATATTTAAAATGAAAGATTTAGGAGAAGCGGATACTATTTTAGGGATTAAAGTTAGAAAACATAGTGGGAGTTTTTCTTTAAGCCAATCACATTATATTGAAAAAATAGTGAATAAATTTAATCATCTTGGTTTTAAAGAAGTTAACACTCCTTTCGATCCCAGTGCCAAATTGACTGCAAATTCTGGTAGAGCTGTAGCACAGCTTGAGTATGCTAGTGCAATTGGTTCTTTAATGTATGCTATGCATTGTACTAGACCTGATATTGTATTTGTTGTATACAAATTAAGTAGATATACTAGTAATCCAAGTGTAGAACATTGGAAAAGCATTTCCAGGATTTTTGGATATTTAAAGAAAACCAAAAATCTGTGTTTGTTCTATAATGAATATCCGGCTGTATTAGAGGGATACACCGATGCAAGCTGGATGACTAGTGTTGGAGACAACCAATCCACTTCTAGAATGGTTTTTACACTTGGTGGAGGAGCAGTTTCTTGGGCAAGTAAGAAACAAACATGTATCTCACACTCCACTGTGGAATCTGAATTCATTGCTTTAGCAGCAACTGGTAAAGATGCTGAATGGATTAGGAACTTATTGCTAGATATTAAGTTATGGCCGAGTCCAATGCCTCCTATCTCTATCTATTGTGATAGTCAAGCCACTTTGTCAAGGGCTTATAATTGTACGTATAATGGTAAGTCTAGACACATAAGTGTAAGACATGAATATGTGAGACACTTTTTGGTCAATGAATTAATGCTTTATTCATCTTTCCAAGTATGTAAAGTGCTGTACATCAAAAAACCAGGGTTAATAACCTGGTAAACAATAGAAAATGCATAGTTACAAATTCACTATCATTTCCTTAATATGTGCAGGAAAATCATCATTCAAAATTCTGGTGAAGATGGATACTTTGATAGCACGGAAAAGAGTATCAGGAGTTCTTGCAATCCCCTGGAAAATCCTAACATTCCGCTCCTGCCAGATAAAGTAGACAGCCACAGAGAGAGCCATTCGCTTCAAATCTTTCTTGAATCCTTTACCTTTCAAGCAGCTAGAATACCAACTGCTGAGCTGAACCCAAGTACAAGATCTCCATGTGTATCCCAACCAGTCCATCACATTGTTCCACACTTCAGCCGAATATTGACATTCAAAAAACAGATGTTTGCAATTTTCAGGTTGCCTAGAGCACAGGACACAGCAATTTGTGCTA